AAACTCATGTCCTCTGCCTTGATGAAGGTCTAGGTGGGGATGTGGCATGAATCTATGAGACTAGGAAGGGGAATAGATAGGACCCTGTGGGGAAGGATGATACAGAGTGGGTGTGGACTGTTACATGATCTTGGGGAGATGACGAGGTTCCTGAGTATAGGCTGGAAAAGCAGACTTGTCTATCCTCAGCTGAGAGAGAGTGGGTCAAGTTATCTGAGCAGGTCCAGGGGTATCAGAATGTGTGGAGGAAGGAGAGGAAGAACTGAAATCAGAAACCCCATTTATAGGGTGAAGTCAAAGAGGAAACCAAAGAAGAACTTTCTAGAAGGAACAGTCAGAGACATGGGAAGTAAACTGACATGGCAATGTAGTGCCTGGAAGTCCAGGGAAGGCAACCTTTGAAGGAAAGAGCAGTCAGAGGTGTGCAGTCCAAGGAAATCCAAAGACACAGAGGCTGTGTACCTCTGAACGAGCTGACGGATTTGGCACCAATATGAATTTAGCCAGAGGAGTTTTAAAGAAGAGTAGAGAGTTAATGAAAGAAGCTGAGAGTGTGGCTAGAAATGTTCAGCCTATAAAAGAAAAGAAGACCAATGATAGAAGGGTGGACTAAATTTTGTCTTATCTTTGATTTGTTTTGGTGTTTTTAATGGCATATAGTTGAGTGGTGGCTCTTAGGGTAATCTAACAGCTTCAGCATCTTCTGGAAACTTGTCAGAAATGCAGATTTTTCAACCACACCCTAGACCTGCTGGATCAAATGCTGGGGGTGGGTCTCTGCTACCTGTTTTTTAACAAGACCCCCCAGGGAGATTCCAATGCAGCTGAAGGCTGAGATCCACTGGGCTGAATACACTCACTCACTGGACAGGAGAACTAGTCAAAAGGAGAAGAGGGGAAGGAGGGGGACACCTGGGAGAAAGGAGACAGTTGGATAAAAGTTATGAGGAATGTGGCCTGGGGCCAAGTTTTTAGTCAAGGACAATGATTGGAAGGCAGAAGCAGACAGCTGTGGAGGTCTGGAAAGGTCTGCATTTGAGGATGTTTCTACCTGGTGACAAGTGAAGTAAGTATTACAATGAAATGTGCCAAGACCTTGAGTTAGAAAATCTGAAAGGAAAGAACATGCTTGGCATATTTCAAGCAGAAAGTGCTGAAGAAGAAATTCAAGCTTCAGTTGCAATATTGAAGGATTCTATTGAACAATGTAGGAAGCATCCGAAAAAGATGGAAGGAATACATAGAGTCATTGTACCACAAAGAACTGGTGAAAGTCATTTCAGGAGGTAGCATATGATCAAGAACCAGCCGGGTTGAAGGAAGAGATTCAAGCTGCACTGAAGGCTCTTGTGAAAAATAGGACTCCAGGAATTGAGGAAATGGAAACAAGTCCAGAAGCACTCCATCTTCTATGCAAAGACATTTGGAAGGCAGCTACCTCACCAATTGACTGGAAGCAATCCGTATTTATGCCCATTCCATAAGAAGGTGATCCAATGGAATGTGGAAATTGTTGAATGATAGCATTAATACCACACACAGCTAAAATGTATTGAAGATAATTTAAAATGGCTTTATCAACAAGTACCAGAAACTCAAACTATATTCAGAAGAAGACTTGGAACAAGAGAAATAGTTGCTGACATCAGATGGGTCTTGGGTGAAAGCAGAGAATACCAGAAAGGTGTTTACCTGTACTTTATTGACTATGCAAAGGCATTTGACTTATGTGGATAATAGCAAACTATAGACATCATTGTGAAGAACGGGTTTTCCCAAACACTTAATTGTGCTCATGTGGAACCTGTACATAGACAAAGAGGCAGTCGTGTGAACAGAACCAAGGGGAAGTTGTGTGGTTTCAAATAAGGAAAACTGTGTGTCAGGGTTGTGTCCTTTCACCATACTTACTCAGTCTATACGATGAGCAAATGACCTGCAAAGCTGGACTGTTTGAAGAAGAATGTGACTTCAGGATTGGGGGAATACTCATTAACAATTTGCCATATGCAGATGATCCAACCTTGCTTGTTTAAAGCAAAGAAGCTCTGAAGTGCTTACTGATGAAAGTCAAAAACTACAGACTTCACTATGAATTACACTTCAATATAAAGAAAACAGAAGTCCTCACAGCGGATACAGTAGTAAAGTGTTAAAAAGCAAAGAAGTTACTTTGAACTGGATAACGAATAAGGAAAAGCAAAGGATTGATGCCTTTGATTTGTGGTGTTAGAGAAGAATACTAAATACTTCATGGACTGCCAGGAGAAGGAACAAATCTGTCTTGGAAAAAGTACAGCCAGAATCCTCTTTAGAAGTGAGAATGGCAAAACTACACCTTGTGTACTTTGGACATGTAACCAGGAGGAACCAATCTCAGGAGAAGGAGACATCATGCTAGGTAAAGTAGAGATTCAGAAAAAAAAGAAAAAAAAGATCCTTAACAAGATGGGTTGATACAAGGCAGCAACAGTGGATTCAAACATAGCAACAGTTGTGAGAATGGTTCAGTAACAGTGTTTTGTTCTGTGCTTGGGGTCCGTATGAGTTGGAACCGGCTCCTCCACAGATCTGGCAATAACTCTCTGATGTGGAAGGAATTTTCTTTAGAGTTACAGGCAAGGTTGCTGGGGATCCGGAGGGGTTGAGTGGTGAAGGTTTCAGTGAGCCACCTTGGGGAATGAGTTAGAAGCAGGTAGGCACGAGAGCCTGGACTTTGAACCAATTCATTCCGGTTCAGTTCCTTGCTGAAAATTTGCCTTTTGTATTGGTTAAGAGTTAGGCTGCTAACCTCAGGGTCAGCAGTCCAAAACTACCAGCTGTTCCTCAGGAGAAAGATGAGGCGTTCTGCTCCTGTAAAGATTTACAGCCTCGGAAACCCTGTACAGGGTCGCTATGAGTCGGAACTGACTCCACGGCACTCAGCCACCACCACCAGCCCAGATAAAGTGAATCAGAATCTACATTTTTGTAAGATCTCTGGTGGTGCTTATGTGTACGTTGACTATCTTGTTAAAATGTAGATTCAGACTCAGTATTATCTGGGCTGGAAATGCAAATTCTCTAAGCCAATCAAACAAGAATGAAAATGATTGGAGGCCCCTTAGAGAGCACTTTGCAAATCCCTCCTAGATTGAACATTAAAAAAATCCCCCAAAAACTGCTGCCATGCAGTTGGTTCCAACTCATAGCAACTCTATATAGGGTTTCTGAGAGTGTAAATCTTGATGGGAGTAGAAAGCCTCATCTTTCTCCCTCTGAGCTGCTGGTGAGTTTGAACTGCCAACCTTATGGTTAGCTTATACTACCGGTCTATGTTGTTGTTGTGTGCCATCAAGTAAATTCCAACTTATAGCAACCTTGTGTAGGTCTTCCGGGTGTGGTACTGTGAGATAAACCTTGAACTACTAAACCCAACACAGGTTTGCTATGGGTCGGGACCTAGTCGATGGTACTTAACAGCAATAACATAGGGTTTCAGAGTGTGGCTGGTGGGTTTGAAATGCTGACCTTGAAGTTAGGAGCCCAGTGCTTATCCTACAACACCACATGTTGTCGCTGTTATTAACAACACTGAGTCAGTTCTAACAAATAGTTACCCTGTATAGGGTTTCTGAGGAGCGGCTGATGGGTTTGATCCGCCGACCTTGGTCATTTCTGGCTATGTCTGTCTCCTGGGTTCTGTGTAGCCCATGCTTGGCAGTCCAGAGGCTGTTTGCTCTATGAACCTTTCCTGGATCTTCCTTCATTGAATTCTCATGAGATTATGTTGTGAAACACTCTATTCAATGAGCTGTCATTTGCAGTTTACCCAATATTTTCCACAATGGTTGTTATACACTTTTTATTCTGTTGTTATTGTGTGTTTCCAGATATTTCTTGCCTCCAAATGAGCTGTGACTCCTCCAAATGGTGTCACCTTCATCTTTTTATCCCTCAAGCCCAGCTCAGTGCCTGAAAAAGTCACCGACAAGGTCAGGGTTGGCACAGATGAATTTGTTGACACAAGTTTCAGTTTTAAGTTAGGCCTGAATGGTTTTCCAAGCCGTTGCTGGCTATGAATCCTTAAGGAAATCGCATGTATACTAGGGAATGTAACCTATAAAGCCGAGTAACAATAGAATTGCAAAAACACGCTGAGACAGGAGGAAATTCTGGCCTGGCAGCGCGACAGTGTTGGTTGTGAAAACGACAACCAGGAGTATCACGAATGTGAAATCTGCTATTCCCAGACAAAATGCATGGCTGCCTTACGGTTTAGAATTAACAGAGTGGCTCGGTGCCAAAGACTGGCGAGGTCGGAGGGCCGCAGCGCCTGCCCGCTCGCTCCCTTCCCTTGCCGCATACCGCGTCCTTAGGCAGGTAGTGCCCGGTGCGGGCAGCGGTCGGCCGACCACCCACCGACCCACGACCCACCAGGCTGCAGCGTGAGGTGGCCGGGCAGTATGCAGCGACCCCGGGAGTCCGCGCTGGGCTGCTGTGGACTTTGCAACTGCCGCGGCCAGACCGGAGGTAATGCGCTGGGGGGCACCCGGCTGGTTCAGGTGCAGTCTCCGGGGCTTTTGTCGTTCCCTGGCGCCCTCTGCAACCCTACCTTCCTCTCCTAGGTGGGCGCGGGGTCCGGGGGTCCCTGGTGGGACCTGCCCCCCCTGGGCGGAGGGAATGCTGATGCTGTAGGCGGAGGACCCCTGCAACCGAGAGGATGCAAGTTTTAGGTGACCGCATTGGGGTACCCTTTCATGACAGCTGCAAACCGCTTCCGCTTCCGCCGAGCCTATACACCTCTCTTTCTGCCGGTTGGGGACCAATCGGTGGGAAGTGATTGAGATGCAGGGCTGAGGAGCATTGCCGTAGCTCCCCCTCCATCCAGCCCTCCCATCATTTCGCTCAGCCTTGCCCCCTCCCCACTCTTCTACCCCACCCATTAAAAAAAAAAAAAAAAAACGTTCTGGTGCAGACGAAAGCTTATCTGCTGTGGAACATTTTTGTTTTATCGGAGGATGAGGAAGGAAGAAATGGCCTTAGAAGAAATGGTGCAGAGATTAAATGCGGTTTCCAAGCACACTGGTAGGAGGAGCTGCTGGTCTTAAATGCTGTATTCTTAGATCGCCATCATTTGTTGACTTTTAGGGAAAAGCTTCTAATTTTTGTAGCAGCTTTAATCCCCCCCCCCCATTCACTGATAAAGGGGAAGAACAGATATTCTAGGCATTTGTCTGGTATCTGTTGTGTTTCTGTTGGTTGTCAGCATGGTTTGATTCTGTCTAGGATAGTTAAAGAATTGCAGATTAGTGACACCAGATTTCTAAGGAATCTATTGATCACAGATTCGTGTGTGGGACTGTATATATATATGTATCACCTGGTCTGAAATCTGCTTATTCCACGTGCATTTCCGTTGCATTCGCAGTAGTAGAAATGGAGAAAGCCTAAGTATATGTTATTTGAAAAGATTTTGAGACCAAGGTTTGCAGAGCCTTGATGTAGGGATGATGGGATGTCTGAAGCTTATTTTGAAGAAGAAAAATCAGATTAATCAAGTGGTTCTTTTTCGCCACCAAATATAACTTAAACATAAAGCAAATATGTGGAAATATTGTATGGCTTAAAGAGTAAGAGGACAGCCAACTAAACGCTCCTTTAGTGTGTTAATGAAAAGATTACTTAAACTAAGCTCTGAAGAGCAGTTTAAATTGATTTGTTTAGATTAACAAAAACAAACTGAGATGACAGCTTGTATATTGCCAGTGGCTTTCAGTGAGTCACATTGGAGTTCTCATTGCTGCATTATGCGGGAAGGAACGAGTCTGCATTAACTAGTTTTCTATGAAATGAAGAGGAAATTATAATATGCCATTAAAAGTAAGTTGCCATATGTTATATTATATATGATTGCTTGTCTTCTAATACTTCTCTGGAGATTAGAATTTTGTCAGTTACTTATTTTGGGTAGGGTGTCTTTTTGCTCTCTTTCTCTCTCTCATAAGTGGTAGACCCCTGTGGACTTTGAGAGCAAAACAGTGAATCAGTAGAAATGTTCAGTTCTTAAATGATAATTTTGGTGATTATATAGGGGCAATGGAAAAGATAAAAAGCCATCTTTTTATGTTACCAGTCCCCTAATTCTTAGACATCATTCCTTATTTCTGAAACCTGAGTCGAGTTTCGCTAGGTGCAGGATTTGGTGTGTGTTCAAGGACAAAGTGGACTGCTAGATTCCTAGGGACTGCTTCCTAATTGCCTCTGGAGCTGGGAAGGAAGAAAGCACTTACCTACTTCTTCACGCCATCTGCATTTGGCTTGAAGTCAGAATTACTACGGAATGGGAACTGGTCCAAAGAGTGATGTCATTCCCTTGGTTTTTAGGGACTGAGGTTTCTTCATAAGATGTGTGCATTTTAAATGGTAAGGCTGTATCGCAGAAGAGCAAGAATTATATTAACCACTGATTGAATGTATGTTGTAAGCCAGGCACTGTGTTAGACCTTCATAGTGACCGTCTTCTCATTTTAAGCAGTAACTCTCAGATGTGTGCCCTTCAGACACATCACTGCTAACTAGGAGTTCTGAGTTTCACACAAAGTCTTTTACATCTCGTTAACAGATGCCCACTTTTATGAATATCCAAGATTGCTTATTTGGGGGAAGAGTACTCACTCTGCATCCATATCTCTGTTTACCTCCCATTGGCCTCTTCTTTTAGCACAAATCCAGTTTCTACACCTCGCAGACATGATTTATGGTGTTTGGAGGCTCAGTGTAATGCTAAGGTTCTATATTGTGTATGTCAGTCACAGCGCTAACCAGGAGCTACGCTTGCTCATGTGGGAAAAAGAATGTAGATCAGTGTAAACGTAGTTACCAACTTCAGTTTAAATTCCCAGCACTCCCTCAGAAAACTCCCCATTTGGAGTGGAACGGCTTTTAGCCTGAGGTCATAGAGCTGTTCTTACCTCCTATCCCAGATGGGTGGCAGGTGTGGAGTAATGAGACCCGGACATTGATCCGGTGAGTTGGTGTAGTCATTCAGAGCAGAAGGTCCTGACCCTTTTAGGACTTGATCATAGCTGATGGCTTGGCTACAAGAATAGCAACTTTCATAGAACCGTGTTGCTATTTCAGCTGTACATAGTTGGACCCGTTGGGAGACTTCACCCTAACCTGACAGCCATTTTATCTTTGTTTGCTGCTCAGGACATTCATGATGCCCTGCTTTAATTTCAGATTTATATGTTGCTTCCCTTCTTGTAGAACATTCATTATGTAGGTTAACATGCTTATAAAGAAGGATGAAGTATGCTACCCGTATTGTCTGAGGATCTGTATCTCTTGACCTTGAAAATAAGTAAATATTATGTACACTTCTCAACCTAATCATTAAGAACAAGGTCAGAACACCTTCCGGCAGCAAACCCCTGCCCTCCTCTATTTAGTAAGGCTCCTTTCCCCGCATTCTAATCTGTTTTGATTTTCTCTTTAGATTTCCATTAATTGATGAAAATGTAAGAAACATCCAAGGGAGAAATGCTATGGATCTAATTAAGCTGATTGTTGGAGGGAATTATAGTCTTCACATTTCAGCCTGCGTCTGGATTACTTGGAGAGCTTGTTGAAACTCAGATTGCTGCCCTTCACTCCTAGAGTCTCTAAGAAAGTGCATGTTTAGGTGACGGGCGATATTGATGTTGCTGGTCCAGGAACCAGACTCTAAGATCCAGTAAAAGGAATCGTGGTGGAGCAGCAGTTAAAGAGCTAGGCTAGCAGTTGGAGCTCACCAGCTACTCTAGGGGACAAGGCTGTGACAGTCTGCTTCTGTAGATGTGTTGTTGTTAAGTGTTGTTGAGTCGGTTCCGACTCATGGTGACCCTGTACCAGGGTAAAGACTGTTGTTGTTGTTAAGTGCCATCTTGGCAGTTCCAATCCATAGCGGCCTGGTATCAGGTAAAGATTGTTGTTGTTGTTAAGTGCCGTCGAGTCGGTTCCAACCCATAGCGACCCTGAACAGGGTTTCCTAGGGTAAAGATTGTTGTTGTTGTTAAGTGCCGTCGAGTCGGTTCCAACCCATAGCGACCCTGAACAGGGTTTCCGGGGCTGTAAATTTTTATGGGAGCAGAAAGCCTCATCTTTCTCCCGCGGAGCAGCTGGTAGTTTTGAACTGCTGACCTTGAGGTTCACAACCAGATTCGTAACCACAACGCTACCAGAGCTGTCTAAGCTTTGGAAACTATAGAGTGGTCTACTTTGTCCTATAGGGTCATTATGGGATAGGATCAACTCAACGGCAGAGGGTCTGGTTTGGGGTTTTGATAGTACAAGAATCTGAACCTAACCTCATCTTCTCCAGTAATTGACCCTGAACAAAATACTTAACTCATCATGAATGGAATGATACATGGATAGATGGGGTTACATACAAAGAAATAAAAATTTAACTATATCATATTTTAAGGTGTTCATGTCCCCCATTGAAGACATTTATAGTTGTTTACATATTGAACAAACAAATCATTAGTTTGCTCACATAAATTTAATAATAAATCTCATTCCACCTCACATTTTTCTGTACTTGTGTTGAGTTCAGCTGTGATATTTAGACTATATGGACTAAATGTCTTCTTTCCTACCTGTTCTGACCCTCTTCTAAGCCAAGCTCACCATAGTCCAAGACATTACATCTTAACTGCTATCTCTGCTGCTATGGTACTATAAGATAAGCACTGGACTGCTTTTGGTTCAAACTCACCAAACTCTCCTTAGAAATCCTATACACGGTTCCCATGAGTCAGAACCAGTTTGATGGCACTTAACAACAGCAATCTTAGCAGCTAAATCAGCCGCTTGGGTGGGGGTGGGGGGGTTAAGAGTGTATGCGGGACTACCATTCTAACACTATTTGAGTAGTTAGTGTTTATCCTTCTGATGTTGTTAAGTGTCATCGAATCAGTTCTGACCTGAATAGGGTTTCCAAGGAGCAGCTGGTGAGTTTGAACTGTTGACCATGTGGTTCAAACTGACCTTGTAGTCCAGCGCTTTATCTCACAGCGTTATACCAGGAGGACGCCTTTCTCTGTCTAACGTGTTCCTTTTGAAGAACTCAAGCATGTCACAAAGATGTTGCTCTGTAAGCGGCATTAGTGAGGGGAGGGGAGACATCTTTTAGCTGCTGCAGCTTTTCTGACAGATCCAAACTACAGAGTTTCTTTGTAGTAGAAATGCATGTTGAGCCGGAAGGGAAGGAGCATGGAAGAAAAAGCCTGAGAGTGTGAAAGATTCTCTGTGAAGGAAATGGTTCTGCCATGTTCGTGTTTTCAATTTGTAGAACCTCAATCCTGCCTAAGTTTTCTTTTCTAAGGGATATTCATGTTTTGTGCTCTGTGTTTTTCTTAAAGAAACAATTCCGTTATTTGGCTTTTAACTGGCTAGAGTCTTCCTGGAACTAGTTCATCGGACTCCCTTCCCTTGACATACTCTGGCCCCCCACATGCAGAAGAACTTGTTTCTAGACTGGGCCTTGGTTACCTCAGCCATCTCTAGTCCTGAGGTAGCCATGCTGGAGCTCTGTCTTATTCCTTTCAGAGAACTTTTCTTCTATAATTATTGTTGTTGTTGTTAAGTGCCGTCAAGTCGATTCCGACCCATGACGACCCTGTATAGGGTTTCCAAGGAGCAGCTGGTGAGCTTGAACCACAGACCTTGCAGTTCAAATGACTTTGCAGTCTGATGCATTAGCCCACAGTGCCACACCAGGGTTCTAGAAACAGTGTCCTCGTCTTTCTTCTGTGGTGGGTTTGTGATTGATCTGTCTCCTAGACCTTACTCCTGCTCTCCCAGACCTCTAAACACAGGCCTTGGGACTGCTGTTGAACTTGTTCCTTGTTTGGCTGTTTATCTGCCTGTTGTGAGTCCCTCCTGATAGAGAATCCTGGACCTTCTATTAGCGTCTGACGTCCCATCCACTCTGTGCTTCCTTGGTCTGTGGTGTCCGGCTCCAGATGAACCTGAGAATCTGCTAAAGGGGTAGACTCATTCAGAGACACCCGGGAGGAAGACATCTGTTTGTCACCCAT